GAAGGTGAAGTTCGAGACTGCTATTCATAGGATGAGGGGCATCCTGGACTACGTACACACAGACATTTGGGTTCCCACCAAGACTGCATCACTCGGTGGTCGACAATTGTTCATCATGTTCGTTGATGACTATTCTAGGTGATGTTGGGTGTACACCATGACGAAGAAGAGTGAAGTCCTAGATTTGTTTGTGGAGTGGAAGAAGAGACCATGACGAAGAAGAGTGAAGTCCTAGATTTGTTTGTGGAGTGGAAGAAGAGATTGGAACTGCAGACTGTGAGAAAGATCAAGACGAAGTCCTAGATTTGTTTGTGGAGTGGAAGAAGAGATTGGAACTGCAGACTGTGAGAAAGATCAAGACGTTACGATCCGACAACGGTGGTGAGTACACATCAGACCCCTTTCAGCAACTATGTCGAGACGATGGCATAGAGAGATACTTCACGATTAGTCATACACCATAGCAGAATGGGGCGGTAGAAAGGCTTAATCAGTCTTTACTGGAGAAGGTCCGCTGCTTATTGTCGCAAAGTGGTTTGGAGAAGATTTTTTGGGCTTAGGCACTTACATATGTGAACCACCTCATTAATAAACTGTCTTCATCTGTGATTGAGGGGAAAACTCCTATGGAAAAGTGGTCGGGAGAGCCAGCACATGATTATGACTAGCTCAAAGTATTCGGATGCCCTGCATTTTATCATGTGAGAACAAATAAATTGGAACCTCGAGCTAGGAAGGTCATATTTGTAGGATTCAAACGCGGTGTTAAGGGATACAAGCTTTGGGATCCAGTTGATAGGAAGATTGTGCTGAGTAGTGACGTCACATTTGATGAGGCTTCTATCTTGAAGTTTTCAGCTCTCATCAGGTGGAGAGCGACCCGACGGAGGAGATATCGCAGATGGTAGAGATCGATGCAACTCCATATTATCTAGATGGTACAGTATCCATTAGAGTGCCGACTGAGGTGACGCCAGGCAAGCACAATGGTGACACGGAGGATACGGGTATTGATGTACAGGATCAGGGACCGACGGCTTAGGTTCAGGATTCTATTGCGGTTCGGAGACAGGGGAGAGACATACGGTTGCCAGCACGGTATGCCGACACAGTTGCGTATGCACTTCCGGTGGAGAGTATCGATGAGATGGTGCCTACTACATTTAGAGAGGCCGAGCAGAGTTCGGAGGCTGATTCGTGGCAGGTAGCTATGCAGGAGGAGATGGAGTCTCTTCATAAGAACGATACATGGGAGCTGGTTAAGCTTCCAAAGGAGCGGACGGTAATTGGTTACAAGTGGGTATACACGAAGAAGGAGGGCATTGAGGGCACTCCATTGAGGTTCAAAGCTAGGTTGGTTGTGAAGGGCTATGCACAGGAGGAAGGTATTGACTATAATGAGGTTTTCTCTCCGGTGGTGAAACACTCTTCGATTCGGATTTTGCTAGCTTTGGTGGCACAATATGGTTTGGAGTTGGATCAATTGGATATGAAGACGGTATTTCTTTATGGTGATCTTGATGAAGAAATATATATGACTCAGTCATTAGGATTCCGAGCTACATGGAAGGAAAAAATGGTTTGCAGGTTGAAGAAATCGCTATACGGTTTGAAGCAGTCTCCTTGACAGTGGTATAGGCGATTCGATAGTTTTATGATTGTTCATTCATACACTCGGAGCCAGTTTGATCCTTGCGTATATTTTCGCAAGTTGAAAGAAGGTGCGTACATCTATTTATTACTTTATATCGATGGCATGTTGGTTACCTCTATTTCCAGATATGCTATAGATGAGTTGAAGGCACAGCTTTCAAAGGAGTTTGAGATGAAGGATTTAGGTGAGGCGAAGCGTATTTTAGGGATGGAGATCAATAGAGATAATAAGAAGAGCAGAATTTGTTTGATACAGGTGGCTTATTTGAAGAATGTTCTACAGCGATTTCATGTTAGCATGGATACGAAGCCAGTTAGTGTACCATTAGGAGCCCATTTGAAGCTTTCAGCTGATCTTTCACCGAAGTCAGTTGAAGATTAAGAGTTGACATCGAAGACTCCATATGCGAGCACGGTTGGGAACTTGATGTACGCGATGGTATGTACGAGGCCAGATTTGTCACAGGCAGTGAGTATGGTTTCGAGATACATGCACGATCTAAGAGTGGGTCATTGGGACGCCGTGAGATGGATTTTGAGGTACATTCGAGGTACGCTCAATGTTGGTTTAGTTTATGAACATGACACTACAGGTGGGCAGTTATATAATGGCTACGTTGATTCGGATTATGTCAGGGATTTGGATAAGCGCCGGTCTATGACGGGGTATGTGTTCACTTTGACCTGTGCGTCGGTGTGTTAGAGATGCACCTTACAGTCTACAGTGGCTTTGTCTATGGCGGAGGCAAAGTATATGGCAGTTATGGAGGCTGTGAATGAGGTTATTTGGCTTTGAGGACTTTTGGAGGAACTTGGTATATTGCAGAGGTCTGTTACTATTCATTGTGATAGCATGAGTGCTATCTATTTGGCGAAGAATCAGGTTTTTCATGCGAGGACGAAGCATATTGACGTTCGTTATCACTTCGTTCGAGATGTTCTTGAAGATGGCGATGTGAAAATTGTGAAGGTCCACACGAAAGATAATCCGACGAATATGATCACTAAGGTGGTTCCGAGCAACAAGTTTGATCATTGTAGAAGTTTGTTGCACATTCGTGATTGTTGAGGCCGTTGCCGCCCATTTGGATGAACTACAGGCGGCTTGATCCCTTGGGAGAGGGGGTACGTAGGTAACCACCTTGGTGCAGCCTAATTTGATGAGACAACACATTGGTGCTCATGTTGGTGTCGGCTCAGTTTTGGGAATACTTCGTCGAGGTGGAGAATTGTTGGATAGCAAGATTCCTAATCTATTTTGGTAACATGAGGTTATTAGGAGTCCTAATCTATTTTTGTAACATGAGGTTATTAGGATTCCTAATCTGTTTTGGTAACAGGTTATTAGGATTCCTAATTTGTTTTGTTTTTTGTTTTAGGATTCCTAATCTGTTTTGGTTTTAGGTTTTCTATATATATGGAAGATTAGGATCAATCAAAAGGAGGAGAGTTGTAATCAGATATTAGAGAGACTTTTGAGCATTGTGAGAGGAAGATATTGGGAGCAAGTTAAGAGCTTTGATTGAGGGTTAGTTTGTGAGTGTTGTGAGATTGTAACCCTTTGTACTCTCCTTGATTTAGTGGAATCTCTCCATCCTCTCCCCGTGGACGTAGGCAATTTGCCGAACCACGTAAAATTGGTTGTCTCACTATTTGTGTGATTTGTAATAGCTTATTTAGGTTCCCTCGATAGGTCAGTTCTAGAACTGATGAGAGGAAGAGCTGATATCTCACTTGGTTGAGACTTTTGAGCATTGTGAGAGGGAGATATTGTGAGCAAGTTGAGAGCTTTGGTTAAGGGTTAGTTTATGAGTTTTGTGAGATTATAACCCTTTGACTCTCCTTGATTTAGTGGAATCTCTCCATCCTCTCCCCGTGGACGTAGGCAATTTGCCGAACCACGTAAAATTAGTTTGTCTTGCTTTTGTGTGATTTGTAATAGCTTATTTAGGTTCCCTCGATAGGTCAGTTCTAGAACTGATGAGAGGAAGAGCTGATATCCCACTTTGTTGAGATATTTTGCTTAAGATTCTTGTTTCCTTTGTGAAACAGGAATTTTTATTGCGACCTGACTCTCTTGTTGTGCTGTCGAAGTACTGCCGAAATTTTCGCTACGCGCAACAATTCTAAACATAATCCTAAAATCATATGTTCAAAATTATACATGTATCATACTATATTTACACTAGGTGGAGTTATCATAACTTGAAGTTGAAAATATTGTTGATCAATTTGTAAATTTTTTTTATTATTTATTAATTTGATATCTTGTCTTTTATTGATTTTTATAAAGTGTGGTTATTGGTTAACTCATGTTCCTCTTTAAAATAGTAATAGAACACAAAATACCATAAAAATATATAACATGTCAAGATCTATAAATTTTAAAGAAAACCTTTCCTATTGTAAAACATGGACTGCGATACATAAAATATTAATAAATTATTTACACAAATCATCTGAAATATCATCTCAAATTCTCTTCTTTTTATAATTTTTTTTTTGATAATTCGATTGAAATTCCAATGGGTTATTAAGATTATCCTAGGAATAATATATTTGGATTCTTAATATTATTTTATGAATATTTTGCAATCATATACACACTTTTCTAATTAAATTGAAATTCTAATGCAAACATCACAAGATTGAGGTACTTTTTAGTTCATCTAACTATGATATTTTGTTTGATTGCTTCATGTTGTTGGGTTTAACTCAATGTACTATTTAGTTCATACTATATCTCAAAATAATAATAATAATAATAATAATAATAATAATAATAATATGTTAACGTATACAAAGAAATAGAAAAGAACATATGTAAAGAAAAAACAGATCTACATGACCTTCCAAGCTAATGATGTGGGTTCAGTTCCGCTAATAATGCAGGTTCAATTCCCTCTGGCAACATACTGGTATATAGTTAACATACTGGTATATAGTTACGAATAAATATATTCACCGAGCAAGTAAGGGAAGACGATTATGATACTAATACGGCCGCGCAAAATAATAAGTACGTTTTTTTGCAAATAACAACAAATGATGGTAGAATTTAGTCTTGATTCATACAGCAAAAAAATATAAAGGAGAAAATAAAAAATAAAAAATAATAATAATTACATGAAGAATCTTATTGCGAATGTACAAGCAGAAGATACGCATCAAATGTCATTACATGAAGAAAATAAAAAATAATAATAATTCACGCAAAGCCAACAAACACAAGTAGGAGTCCAGTACAACACTCTGTACCCTGAACTTGTATACAAAGACAGCTGGAGGAAAAAGAGCAAGAAAAAAAAAAGGACAAAAAAAAAAGGAAAAACACTGGCTTGTGCACATAAAAACAAAAAATAGTGTTGTACTCTCTTATGTATACATCATTCAATAAATATGTATGCATACAAAGGTCACGAAAATTTTTCTACAAATACATATAATTCCACACAAATCCTTTCTCATGCACCGCCAACAAATAAATGAAGGTATCACTAAACTATACAACAATTATCCAATATACAATAGCCATCACATCTCAAGAGTAGCAAATGGAGCAGAAAACAGCGCAAAACAAAAACAAACTCACAAATCAAATTATATAAATATATCGCCCATACTATGCCTCCACTATCATGTTAGATTAAGCTCGTAAGAGCTCCTTGTTCATCTCTGTACACTATGATCTTGTTATTTAGCTGGTATTGGTGTCAGTCAGGATTTTGTCAGTGATCTTTCGTACTTTTAGCGCTAGTCTGGCTTCGTGTACTCGAGAAGCATATGGGGTGACCGATAAATCTTTACAAGCGTCCAGTAAAGGACTTCTTCAACTTCCAATTCTCCCTCTGCTCTTGCAGCATAAATGTCCTCACAGATTGCTATTAACCTGCAGCAAAGCAAATTTTTTATGTCATAATTACAAGCGCTAATTGCAGCTATACCCCTGTAATTTGACGATCATCTGACTACGTTATTAGCAATTACACCTCCTGAACTTCAGATGACATTATTTCTTCAGTTGGGTAGAGATGTCATATGGGGATCACGTGATAAACATTACTTTTTTTTTTCGCTGCAGTTTAAATGGAAGAAGACTGATTTGCCATCTAAATAGTAAGGGCAAAAAGGTAGTGTCATCTGAGACCTGGGGGTGTACAAGCTAATCAAGAAGTTACTAACCATATTTTTAAAGACAAAGAGATAGTTTAACTGTAAATAAACAAACAAAAATATAGCATTTAGATTGACTGTCACCAATATGAATGAAGCTGATTCATGAAATAAACCAAATGAATCAAAATAAGGTAAATGATACAGGAATTCATGGAGAAATATTATTTATCTTTCAGTTTATGCTAACTGTCTAGCGAATGTTGCTCACGTTGGACCATCTTTGATTATCTTAGATGTCTGTGGTGTATATGTCTCAATTCTCTATGATATAAGAAGTCAATAAAAAGATAAAGACACCTTTCAGCATCAATTTTGTTCAGAAGTTCATGCAAACCAAGAAGCAACATTTAGAAAATCTTCCAGAATAAGAGAGAAGTCTAGAAGAAGGCTGCAGTGACCGACATTTATTACTGTGGTGCATTCAAATTCATCTCTGAGAAAAAAAAATACAGTCTTGGAGACATTCCTTACATTCTATGTTACTTGGTACTTCTATTTGTAAGCCGTACCCATATCGGATCCATACCCGCACCCATAACTGTAACCATATCCAAACTTCTAGGACACTTCTTGAATATATGCACACATTTGTTCAAGCTTATACTCAATTACATACCACATGTTTTAATTTACAACACTCATACACTTCTTGTATGTATATTCTACACTTAACACATCTATTTCTAATATATTGATCTTATGTAAATGAAAAAAATAATATTGATCTTATGTAAATTATTAATGTTAATACATATAAATATACATAACATACCATGTCCCTGTACCCTACTTTTTACAAATTTGACGTGTCCCGTACCCGTACCCGTACCCATGCAACTTTAACTTACATTAATATGATCACAACGCAAACTGTGAGACCTCAACCAACAAATTTAAGAGACGCAATTTTTTATTCCCATGCAATATATATATGCATGTGTGTGTGCATCAGGAAATAATGTGTATGAGGTAGCAGCTCATTTTGCAAATGAGCTACCAAGAGATAGCCATGTGGCAAGGCCCACCTTGCTAGTAACATCAAAAGGTATGGACCTCACGACTCATATCTCTTGGTAGCTCATTTAACAAAATGAGTCGCCATCTCATACTCATCCTTCCATATGTATGTGTGTGTGTGTAATAAGTTGATCATCAGAGAAACCTAAAACAAAAGTAACATGGAGTGCCGTGGACTAAGCAAAAATGTTGAAAGAACTTTAAGATGGAAAATTTTAAGTAGACTCATTATAATGAGAGGTAGGCTTGGTGTGATTTATATGCCATGACTATGTCAAGCATATTATGTTTCATGTCTATTTACATAGCAGACACTATAAACAGGTTAACACGTACCAATCAGAAGATAGAATGTGTGAATTCAAAAACAAACAAAAGGTTACACAATGCTAGAGACTTGCATATTTATTAATCACATGAGACATGACTATTCACAAATAAGAAAATCAACTTAATACAGAAAATACTTTTCCCAGCACTTATCGCTAATAACGACCCATTGGTGACGTATACACTTAAATTATGAACTCCTAAGGAATGAAGGTGTTATATCCTTGGGCTTCACAGAACCATGCATTAATATGTATAAGTTGAAATGTTGGCAAAATATACCTGTCACAAGAAGGAAGATTCTCATAAGGTATTCTCATCCGTAGATCAGAACATTGAAGTCTGATAAATCGACCAACTGCTAGCACAAATGTAATATAAATGCCCCAAATGCTGAACTTGCTAAGAGTTTCCCCGAGAATACCCTCTGAAAGAAATTACAAACTCGATCAGGAACCAAACCAAAAGGAAAAACTATAATCTAGCATCAGCAGTTACATTATATACACACAGACAGATCAACATAATCCATATCTGGCCACGCAGCATACGAAAACCATACGATTAGGATAAGGTAATTTACTGTGAGTATAATTCAGAATTTTCAATTTCTTCCCTTTTTTCTTCCAATTATTTCTATTTTCTTTTGTCAAATTCCTTGATTCAGTTATAGATCAGGAAAGCTTATGCTGCTAAGCGACTTCTTTTGGACATGCCTATAAACAAATCAAATCAAGGTAAATAGTGCAGTATTCATATTGTATTCATTATTACAATCTTTATTCCACACTCTTCAAGTTTCTTCGAACCGAATTCAAATTCACAAATATCCTTCAATATTCGTCAAATATTTGTTGGATATCAAACTATAACTATTTGAGTAATATTCTATAATTTATGAATATATAATATTTAATTAAGAAGAATTTTATTTTGTTTAAGAGATACTTTAATTTGAGTAAAATTTGTTTATCTAATAATATCAAAATTAATAATAAGAAATTATTCTTTTATAGTGATTGTGTACAAGTCTCTAATTAAAATGTTTGATTTGAGTTGAAACTCTTAATTCTCTCAAAAAAAGTAGAGAATCTAGAATCAAAAAATATAAGGGATAAAAATGTAACATTGTTTGTACTCTCTTAAAGTACAAGGGATTGAACTCTAAACAAACATTTGATAAGCAAATGAATCAAATATGTTAATGATCACATTTGATTTATTTAATATACAAATAAATAAAATTTATTTGATTTCTTTAAAATGATCTTTCAAATGAATAGTTGGAAAAATAAATACCAAACTATCTGATATACATTCAATCAACTTTGGTTTGTACCAGTAAAGTCTATTTTGTCTTGAATCGTTGTCTTTTTGGTTACTTCATTGTTCTGTAGTCTTATATTTTTTACTCTTTACTACTTTTTGATATTATGAAATTCAATATGTAACATTAAAAAGTTCAAATCTACGCAATTTCCAGTAATTTCTTGAGTCGGGGCAAAATCAGTTATGCGTCGTACAATCCCGGACAAAACACACAGGTGTTTTAGTACGTTGCTCTTCGACATGATTCGCCCAGCCAGGAACTTATACTGATTAAAGAGGACTGACATCAGGTGACAACGGGTTGAATACTTCTTTTAAATCTTTCATGATCTCACGCTTAATAAATCATAATCATATTAAAAATGCATCCCATGAATAAAAAATCTTTACTGGTCTGACAAGATGGAAATTGCGGAAGTACAGCCCATAGATCATCTAATGAACTTAATAGTTTAGCAAACTGTTAGAACAAAATATAGGAACGATGACCCATAAAGTGCAAACAGTACAAGGAAGAATAAACACTAAACTAGAGTTTGAGCAAAGTTTAAGATCATACGTGGTGTTTCCTCAGATACAACAACGGCCATTGGTCCAGTCAACCCATTGCACGCTGACATATTTGATACACCAAAGTCATAAAAGGACCACCATGGAGGAGAACCACGATTTAAGAAAAGGTTGCCACTAACTGACGAAGTATCCTGTGAATGTGATAAGCAAATACTTTTAGAGGGGCGGATAAATAATGGATGATCATCAAATAAATGCTAAATAAAATAGAAACCATTTCCTGTTATTGAACTAAATTCTGGTATAAAAATATGGGAAAAGAGAATCTCTGCATACTGTTTGTTCAAGACGTCTCACTTCACCAGAGCTAGTAACCCGAAAGTATCTAGGATAAGCATCAGTGAGTGGAAAACTCTCAGCCGTTCCATTCAGTACTTCAATGACTTCAAATGGAGTTGGAAGATTTCCCACAGATAATTCAGATTTCACAGCTTCCTTTCCTTTAGGCCTCTCCCTTGTGAAAATCCAAGTGAAAACAATATCCATTTTAACAAGGGAAGTAATGTATCTATCTTTAACAACAGGAGGGATCAGCCACAAAGTGCTCGCATCATCTTGGCAGCAGATCAACTGAATATCTTGAACATTATATGCATTCAGATAATTTTTAGGGTCGATTTCCTCTCGGAACTCTTCAAAATGCTTCGAGGAATGTCTTTCACATAAAGAGGTTTGGAAGAGGGTCAACCTTCCACCTGCAGCTTTGATGTCAATCTGAACACTGACATCTTGAATGGGGTTTGCAATGTTTGTTGGGTTACCACTGCTGTACATCTGTCAGAAGAAATGTTTCATGCTGTTTAGCTGTAGGCAGAAGCCATTGAGTGCTAGTTTGAAAAGAGAAAACTTCAGAACAAGAAGGGAGAAAATAAGACGTTCATAAAAAAACAACTCCGGACCCGGTGAGGAAGGAACTAAATGGCCATAACTCATAATAAACAAAGAACTAAAAGTAATTACTCTTAAGACACAAGAATGAATATAAAAATTGCATCAAAATAGAAACAACTCCAGAATAAAAATCTGGTACAAGTGTGAATAATGTGAATCGTAGAGGGTGCGCAGCGTAAACTTGGAAGCATCTAGAAGGAATCAATCGAATCACAATTCAAACAGTTGTGATGGGCATATAAGAGAGGTAGTATATGGTCCAAAATACCCTTATATGAGCATGTAAATTTAGTTATGGCCTTGCAGGCAGCATCAGCTTGTTTACAAGTATGGAAAATTTAAGCAGAGAAACACTAATGATAAGCAAAGCGCTTAATTAAGCAACGGAAACAAAGTTAGAAGTCCAGTATCTAAAGCAATTAATCAGCTCTGAGCATGCATCTAAATAGAACAATGCTTCCGGCAGCTCAAGCTTACTTTCTTCTCTTCATAAGTCAAGTATTATCTCCTTAAAAATACCTTTAGAGCAACTCAAATCCCTTGATTAACAAAAGAAAAATCAATGAAATTAAGTAACATAATTGACTAGAGTGTTAATAGGCTTTAAGAGGAAGACAGTTGAAAATGTATACATGGGTATTTAGCTACTCAATTTCTACTAAAAGAGTTCCAACAACTATGTATGCGAGAGGAAAAAAACTGATTTACAAGCAAATCAGGTCATGTATCAGAAACGTACCAGCATAGGGGCCCAGATAACACAAATCAATATGAAGAATAAACATATTCCACTGCAGAATTTGGTCATTTTAGGTTGCTTTTGTCCTTGTTTATGTCCAGCTCTATTTAAATCAGCATCACATTTGACAAGAAACAAGCTCGCATTGATGTCCTCCAACTATACAGTAAAAACATATCAGACTTAGTAATAAAAACTAAATATAATACACTTCTAAATGTTCAACGGCACATAAATTGATAGACCAACTAACCAAGTGACTTTGCACCAGATTACTTAAATTAATCACACAAAACCCGAACTAGACATCAGCAACTTATTCAACTCTTTCATTAATGCTAACAGTGATACTTAGACACAGCACCACTGTACCTTACTCATATGGTATTAACAATAATTTTCAAGATATTACTGAACAAAGTAGTTAATACATCCTTTGTCAACTACATGTCTAAATGCTTAGACTTTCTAATTTCCCAAACAGCCAACAGGTATCATTTAATTTGATTCACATTACCCAGACCACAATTTACTAAATACAAGATGAGAGAAACTAGACACAACCTATTTCTGGTTGAAGTGCTCATGATTACAAATCTGAAATACATCATTCGTGACTGGGTATATAAGAATAAGAATAAATTTAAAATAATCAAAGAAATTATATGCAGTGATATGTATAGACATCAGCAGAGTTGTTGGGATAGTGAATTGATCTTACCTTTAGCCAATCGTACATTGTTAGAGATGTGGCAGTGCAGGACCAATCAAGTACGCATCGCAGTTCATAGAGAAAAGGTAAAGCACGATAAAGTCGGAAGCCCAAGTAGTTAACTTGTGTAACTTTACTAGTCAAAAATTGCCTGTATAAAGTGCTCTTATTAGGAATTCCATAGCGAATTTGTATTGCCTGAAGTGCGAATGAAACTGATTTTGTGAGGAAGATAGCACGAATTGCAAATCCTCCAATTCGTTTGTTTGGTTCCATGTTCCAAGCATACTCAGTGACTGAGTACGTAAACAGAACTAGGTTGAAAAGGAAGAAAATAACCTTCACTGTAGCAAAGGAACAAAGGTATATAATACGATCCAGCACTATTAAGAAAAAAAGAACCTGCAAAAGAAGGAACAGATATTCAGCAAAGGTATCTTATACTAACCTACTAAATATATGTTGATGTTTACAGACAATATAGGGCTTCATCAGCATTCATTTTTTCAACAATGTATCACAAAAAGTTTGTTTATACCATACACTTACCATTAAGATGAAAACGAACTCTTTAGGAAACTGATCCTCAATCTGATAAACATCAATAAATTTGTTGATGTTTTTTATGACCGACTGATAAAACATAGCAACCAGAAAGAAAACTGCCAAATCTGCCCCAAATATATATGCATATAGGTCAAGTTCTCTCCTCCCTCCCCCGATTACAGATATAACAGGATAAGGAAAATCAATCTCTTCAAAAAACCCAGCACTTTGTGCTTTGAGAATCTCAGCAGAAACATCTGCAGCTGGAGTCAATGATCTACACCAATCCACAGTCTGACACCCTACCAAAGGAGAAGCATAAACAACTTCAAGGACAGCAACAGCTACATCTTCATGTTCTTGACTTCTTTCAATGCTTTGAATTCTAACTCTACTAGCAGAATGGCATGAAGTTGGAATTTTAGCTTCACATCTTGTTTCATGAGCTAGCATAAGCAACTGATTTATTCCTGTTTCAATCTTCTCTGGTTGAATACCATCCTCTGGCCAGTCACTAACTTTCATTGACAACTGCACAAAATATGGAGGTGCTTCTGAACCTTGCGTTAGTGACCTCCAGTACTTCGAGAAATTTCGTGATATAACCTTTACCATGTTCCAAACAGGTGAAAGAATATGGTTTAATCTGTCCCTCCAACTGTAGCTTGTTCTGTGCTCTTCTTGATGCCGATTTCTCCTATTTAAAAGATTAAATTCAGTCACAGGTGCCCATTCACCGTCCTTAGCAGTTATTGAACTTTGCAAAAGGGTTGATATATACACCATAAAGAGAGGTAGGGTGCTAATAACAAAGGATGCAGATATTTTCTCTTTCGGAAATCCTAACCACCTCAAGATCATGAAATTAATATTTAAACCGCAGTGCTGGATGATAATCTGATAGAAATACTGAAGCAAAATATTGAACTCTGTGTAGATAAGCATGATGATCCAGAAGAAATAACTAGGACCAGAACTTACACAAAGAGCATACAAGAAAAGAGCTGCAAGGTAGACCATGGACATCAAACTGAAGTTCCATAGGAAAACAATTATAAAGCAACAGTAACAAACAACATCATTGTTTGATCTCATCTGTGACCATATATAACGAAAGATCCTTCCGATCTGAAGGCTAGCTGTAGGCGTTGATGTCCCACTACTAGAACGAAGTGAATTAGTGCGATCCAGTTGCCCATACCCTGAAGTTTCATTCTCAATTTCATCATGGATTCCATCTTCTGCAGAAGAGTGTCCATTGGAGTCTGATTCTTCGGGCTCAATGTTCAAGAAACTAACAATGTTTGTAACTGCTTGATTACCAAAAGATTGTACTTGAGAAACACCGTCACCTAATAGCTGCACAGCAGAGATTAGTGGATTTTCCATTCCCTTTCCCTTAATTTTTTTAATTCTATCTGCAGTGAGATCAGAGGATCCATGCATTGTAGGGACTTCAGTTATTTCAGACTGAGAATCTAAGGAATGCCTCATGTAGTCCATTGTCAATAAACTTTCACTTTTCTGACTTGCAGGTGACTCCTGAAGCTCAGAAGCCCCCTGATTAAGTAAATCATTCTTCAACATATCCGGCAAAGGAAAGTCGAAGGAATTATTAAATTCTGCATCAACGTTATGGTCCTGTTTGGTGGGTGAAATGTCATCGGCATTGGATACCCTGTTAAATTTGTCCATACTTAGAGAAGAGTTCCTTCTATGCCGGAGACCTTCACTCTTTGGTGAGGTGTTACCAAAAGTTGCACCAGAATTCATGCTGTTAAGCTGACTTTGTAGATTTAACATCTCGGATTTCATTTTCTCCACTTGCAAGTTGCGTAATCGCTTTTGTTCTTCAGATTTACGGATATGATGCAACTGTGCAGTTTTCCATGCAGCTCTTTTCTCTTGTTCACGAACCATAGCACCAATTTGTTCTGCCTCAAGGTATCTTGCCACATAATCAAAACCACCAGAGTAAAACATGTATGATTGCATAGAGACTAACAAAAAGATGATAATTTCAACAAATGCCGACCTTGATGTAATCCGGAAACCATAGTCATACTTGTAAAGTCCGATAACCTCATATATGTAGTCAACCGTGTCACATTTACCAGAAGTGAATTCACCAAGATAAGGAGACTGATAAGCAAGAGAAAGGACAATGAGTGCAAAATTATACAGGCGCAAATACCGGAAAATTTTGTTCTTCTTCTTCAGTATTTCTAGTCTCATTCTGAAGAATACCAGTGCAAAACCGAGATAACCAAGGTGCAAAATGTCATACTCCAGAGTTCCAGTGATAAGAATCAAAGCAAGAACAATGTCCAACAGATGACAATACACATATAGTTTAAGGTAATCGAGAAAGGTCCAGAAACTTTTTGTTTCAAATGAGAGATCCCTCCAGACAAATGAATTTTTCCTTTGCGATTTCATCTGAAGGTATGTGTTAGTCTCTGAGAAACCAGTGAAATAGTCAGATCGAAGCTTAAAAGAAGAGAAGATAAAAACAGCATAGTAGCTGACAAGCATCAGTGGATCATCAACAACTATCCCTGCATTAGACAAAAAGTTTGCTGGTCAGTTACAATTACAGAATCTGGTTAAAGAAATAGAGTTCATAGACCCTTGCAGAATAACGAATATCATGATGAAGACTTAATTACCAAGCCAGCATTTTGTGCAATAATTGAAGTAATGGCTTGAACTTCTCCAGCAATCATGGCAGCTGATGATCATATCTCTAGGAGTATGAATCCAAGGTATCAAATCTTTCCAAATAGCAACATACTCCAGTATGAGGATCGATGCAAAGAGAAAAACAAATAAGGGCCACAATTTCCTAATAGCCTCTCTTTTCAGAAATATGCATGTGATAAGGCACATGATATAAAACATTGATATCACATTCAGCACGGTGAAACTCGCCACAAGTAAAGCAATCATATTTATCTCAAGACCTCGTAGTTTGAATAGATTTTCCATCCAGAATTTCAAATAGATTTTTAGAGTAAGCATTTGCATTTCAAACCTCTCCTTTTTCAGAGCAAGGATGCGCTTCTTGTTCCACTTATGACTCTCTCTAGAACTTCCCCATATATATCCAAATGAATATTTCCTAGCATTATTTCTCGCTGAGGTTCTTCTAATGGTAGACTCTGAATCTGAGAACTGATACAACTCAGAAAGGGATGGCTCCCTCATCTTATTGAACCCATGTTGGGCAGATGAACTGGAATTTACTGACAGCATTTTATCTTCAGTATAAGACAACGTACTATTTGAAGTGTTGCCTCCTGCTACGAACAATTGGCAAGGTTCTTCCCACTTCCCTTTGTTTACCAAAGATCTTGGCATTGTCCCTAACCAGTGAAAAACGTTGTACTGGAGAGTACATGCAACTATTACCAGAATTTTTCCCCTCAAGCCAGACTCCAAACCCCAAAAGCCAGATTCAAAATACCTGAAACCAAGGAAAACCGACAAGCCATAGAGCTGTTGACCAGGAAACATATGAGCCAGCTTACCCCACATCTGGAAAAGATATTCCAAAGCAACAAGAAATCCTGTGTAGACTAAGAACAATTTTGAAGGAATCCGAGAAGCTTTTGGCAATGTTGAACAAATGATCAGACCCAAAAGATAAAGGAATCCAAACGCGCTAATCGGTGACAATGAAGCATAAAATACAGAAACAGACAATATTTTCTCGCTATGCCAAATAAGGAATCTTCGGATAAACCCAAGGAATCCTCGTTCTGATGCATCAGAAGAATCTAATGTCATATTGCACTTATTCTGTCTCCTTTCATAGCTGTAAAGTTGCATAACAATTAAAACAGCTAAAGACTCCCAGACATTCTCCAACAAAGAGGCTTCTGGATTGAATCCTAAATCAGGATACAGATCAACCATCTTCAATACCCATGACTGAAGACTGGGAGAAATGCTCAAGCTGTAAGTGAAGACAAACACTACCGTGGCGTAAATTTTCAAGGGAAGCCAGAGTCTCCTTTTTGTCTTTTCTACCAACTGCCTTCCTATTATCCAAAATAGAAGGAAAAACAGGAAACCAAAGGATATATAATTTGGTGTCACCAGATATAATGTGAGAAGAATAGTTATGAAAGCCACATATGTGCCGTATGAACGGTACGTAGACAAACATTTCTGACCAATCTGACTGAGATATGTTGCTATAAGCTTCTCTGGTAAGAAAAGGGGAAAAAAGTTAGAAAACTAGTAACACTATTAATCATGACATGCAAATAACACGCATGAGTATGAGGTTGGGGGGTGGGGATACATGTTCATAATGCCATTCTTTGGAACTTAATGACATACCACGTGAAGAGTTGACAGATTGACTGTCACTGGAACATGAAGAGGCGTATACAGAAAGCAAAACAGATTTGCTCAAACCAGCTTTCAGGATGCTGAATCCGAGAGGAGGAGAAGGAGTACGTTGCACAATAGCAGATAATGAAAAAAGCATTTTCAACCCATGGTTTTGAAATGTACAGAAACACAGCAACACACCTATCTCAATAAAATCCTTGAAACTAGTGTGACTTGGGACTCCTGTAAAGTGAAGAACAGACAGCATGAGAAAATTTTTCCAATTGAATAGCGGAGATTAACAGAAATTTTATTACACTAGAAACAGAACCATGTTGATGACATATGAACCTACAATTCGCAAATAAAAATACAAATAGAATTCTGTATAGTTAAAATGATATATCATGGAAAAAGTACATAACTTACAGTGACACCAAAATATGGTTTAGGGTATTGACTTAACCATTGTTTTAAATATCCCAACATGGCCCAATATATCGCCTAATATATCCTTTTATAGGGCTTGCTGCAACCGATATGGTCTCTAAATATCCTTTACCGCTTTTTGGCTAGTTTGCGTGATATATGGCTGACATATCAGCCGACTTGTCGCAAAACGGTATTTGGCAATTTTTTGGCGAGGTATCATGATTTTCCCATTATATCAAATGACATTTAGCCTACAAAAAACCAGATAAAATGGTGCAACATTGATTTGTACTTTTGTTTGTTTTACAAGGTTGACTAGTGATCCTAAATACAAATTACTTACATTTTGTATGCTTAAATTTCATTATGTATGTTGAGATTACATCTTAGTGCATTATACTATATATGCAAACCTCCATAATGGCATTCTAATATTTACCACATATCCCAATATTTCCCCAATATCCGCAATCCAATATGAATTTTGGCCATCTGATATTTTCCCGATATCTGATATTTAAAACCTTAGACATAACTCATACTTCAAGAACTACAGTATTCTCAGAAATGCACTGGAGCTGTTATTCAATAACGGGGATTTATATTTTATTCGAGTTCATTCCATATATTACAGATCTCAGGACAGCAGAAATAGGTAATTCTCCGTTTTCAGTTTGTTTTCTAGTGAAATTACACACTTTTTAGGTAACAAGAATTTCAACATTTCTCCATGTGCCTGTAATTATATGCTGACAGCAAAAATGGACTATATTCTGTTTGAATTATTTGCTTGGTGTTAAGGCAGTGTCACTTTGTATTCAGAATTAATATTGTGTTATTGATTGTGAGACTATATCAATGGTAATTAAAATGGTTAGATTCTAAAACATTAATAGTGTTAACATATTTATAAGCATAAATATGAAAATTCATCATCCTTCTCACTATATCAAGCATGGGTTTTGATGTAAAAAACACATATATATAAAGGTATCTGATGTGCATCTACGTACATACATGGAAGGTGTTAAGGAGACTAGGTGCCTAGACTGAAAGCTTCAGTGTGGTTTCAGCCTCTAAATAGGTGACACAGAGGGCATGTTTTGCATAGATTCATACAATAGTGTTACAATATTGTGTGCAGTCTTAGCTTAGGGTATGTCTCAAAACTTCTATTGCATAAAACACATCGCTATTGACAGAAAAAAGAACAATAAAATTTGCAATCATCATATCCCTTATTGACAAAGTTCTGAATATGCTTTATTTCCTACTTTCTCGAAAGGTTTCATAGATTAGTAAAAAATGATGAAGATGACTGGACTCAAAGTCATAGTGAGGACTGATCAATTAGTCTAGTGCATGCATATGACAACCAAAAAAGTAATCTTTAAGCATAATAAACCAGTACTTTACAAAGAATTGAGTTAAAACAGACTATCCATCACAAAGTTGTCTGACACTGAATAATAAATGTAATGAAACGATATCATCCAATTTGATAAATCACATTGTTATCCATAGGTTATGGTGTTCATATAGTTTGATGTACTACATCTATTTCTTGGTATCTCATTTTGCTAAATGAGGTGAAAAGTTCATCTCTCGCTCGTCCACACTCACACGTGCAGGCATGCACCCACAAACACGTGCACACACACAAATACAAACACGCACACAGAATGCGAGATAGAGACACGCACAGACAATTATGTGCCTCTAAGTGCTTCCAGTTAGAGAGTGAAACAATTATTTTTGAACAAACAAAACGAGCAGCAAGTAAAAACAAAAAAATTACGAAGGCTTACCTAACTGTGACAAGATTGACACAGCTGAAGGATATACAAAAGAGAAAAATGTGCCGCACAGAAAAGAACCAGAGCCTGACGTGTACTTCTAGTAATGGAATGGCTCAACAAGTAGACCAGAAAGAAGCACACTAACATACAAAAAGAAAGAAATCAATATCAGTTAGTAACTTCCTCATTCATTATTTTAAAAAATGCAAAATACAGCTAGATGTAGCAAACATAGATAATCATCATACAGAGCAAATTAAGCTAGAGATCTTTGAACTAAAAAACCTATTAAAAAAAAAGATGAGAAGACACATCATACAGCCAATACCAAGTGATATTTCAAACCTATTGCATCTACATGTTAACATTTCCCTTCTGAAGATGGTAAGCTTGCAGTGTAACATGTTTCAAAATGTATCTTTTTGCAAGTCACTGTTGTATCGCAGCATGACTTTGGCATTTTCTGATTAAACTCTTCATCTTTTACAAAGTTGTGAGATTACAGATGGTCTATACTTGTATTGTTCAATAAAGGAATGTACTATCGCAGGTAATTTTTTCATCATTTTTGTTATCCGCAACTAAGCTTCTGTACCATAGCATGGCCTTAGCATTTGCTGATCAAACTCTTCATCCTGTAACCCAGTTGTAACACTATAGATGGCTATTACCGATGTTGTTCATTAAGGAACACAAGCTGTATCTGCTAATGAACTGAGCCATACTATTGCTTTCGCATATGCTGACCAAAGTCCTCAGCTTTACCCAAGATGTGAGATTACGGATGGCTATTACTGAAGATTGTTTGAACAAGGAAATGCATTATTATACATTTTCTCATCATATATATGCAAATACACAAGCGAGTACCTAAAATCTTATATTGTTACCATTATACATCCAATTTTGCTTCTCTGAGCATTGGATTTATATTGCATCACATAGTCAGTTTCAACAATGGAGATGTTTGAAAAAGATTATTGCTAACTTACACTATGGAACATACTCAGGAAAGTCTAGGCTAACTGCTTTGTGTCTCTTGTATGCATGTGTTGCAAAAGAATAGACATAAGTAGGCTTGACTTAGTAATAGCTTATAATAATAAAATCTTTCAGCTTTTCTACCGACAATTTAAAAAGAAATTTTATTTAAATAGGAAGTGTTGTCCATGCAAATTGTATTAGTGATACAGGTAGCGAGTAGCATCCCTAGAACTAAAGCAGAGACTTGACCAGATCATTTAATAAGATGATCATAATACACAGAAAACAGGCTATACACTCAACAACTTAAAATTTTATGAAGATGAGGAAGGAATGTTTCACCATACTATATACGGCATGAATATAGCCCGGCTTCATAACACGAAGAAATATCAGGGCCAAAGTGATAGCACGTGAACACTTGCGTAGCCCCCATGCTATAGTAGCTATTATCAAAACCTTGGTATCCTCTTTCTCTGCAAAAAGTAAAAAAGAAAAGGTAATAAGACTCAAGATAACGAAGTTTTGTTGAAGGTTTATCTATTATTATAATGACCTAAAGTTAAACAAATTACATTGAGAAAATACCAGACATAACTATACAGCTGGATTGCAACTATTGTGTTTTTTCCCTTAAATTAGGTAGCCATTAATTCACATTATGTAAGTTATGACAGAAACAAGAAAATAATAGCTAGGGTGGAGAGATCAGGTGCAACATGATAGAAGAAAGTGGGCAAAAGGTAACAGATGAGAATGATAAAGATGAAAACGCAGTTAAGAGATGTTGACACAGGAATAAACCTCTTCTGGACTTGGATTACGGTAAGTAGATCTTCATTGACTATATTGATTTAGCAGAGACATACATAAACAGTCAACTTTGAAGTTGGAAACTGAAAGGAAATGACATCTGGTCCAGCCAGACTTACCAAACGAATTTCAGAAGGAAAACATGAAAAAAAAAACATAAATGATTATAAAATGAAGCAATAGTAGAGGACTTAACCACACATATCCTCTTTTGCTTGAAGTGGGAAAATAAGTTATCTTTCATTTTGGAAGCAAGAACTAGGGGGTCCATCACTAAGAAAAATAAAAGAATAGCAAAGTAGAATTCTCACGTACGAGAAAAAAAAAAAGAATCCAAGCAAAATCACAACATAAGTGACTTGAAATGTTAACATTGTTGTCAAGTGTGATCTCACCTTCTACAGAGTGATCATCATTTGAGGAAGAACTCACGTACGAGAAAAAAAAAAGAATCCAAGCAAAATCACAACATAAGTGAATTGAAATGTTAACATTGTTGTCAAGTGTGATCTCACCTTCTACAGAGTGATCATCATTTGAGGAAGAACTTCCGTGATCAGATAAGTACTGGAAGACAGAGTTATTAACAAGATTTCCAATTGCTACGAGAACACCAAGACAAAATTGTGCGAGCAGAAACAGCCCTGGTATAGGATAACGCCAAAATCCAATAGTTTCCCAAATCTCCATGTCCTGCAATTGTTTACTAAAAGCATCATATTATAATTTCATTGCTCCAATAGAAGGCAACTTTAAGGAAAGAGCATAATACCTTCGTGAACTCTTTATTGAGAAATGTAAATGCGACATTGAAAATATATGTGCTAGCAGCCCAAACAAGAATGAAGACAAGAAGCAACCCGTTCAACCGGTGCAATCGAAACAAGGAAGGGAAGGCATACAAAATATATCCAACATAGGCTAGTAAACCAAAAGCACATATGCTAGTAAAACTGAAACTCCAAAATGCAAGAGCAAGCAGCAACACCTGTCACAGTCAACACTATAAGTTATGGCTTTGCAGGAAATATGAAACCACACATGAACTTGTCAGGATCTACTGTAAACAGTAATGCATTGGTCAACCATCCAATTGCAGTAAAAGTCCAGACATTTAACTATAGTGAATCAAGGTTTTTAAAAAAAACAGATATTGCTTACAGTTTCGGCTTTTGACCCCTGCTTGAGTATGATATTGGGAGTTTAGGCAGTTTCAAAAATTACAAATTAGAAATATCAGATATCCAGTATTGGCAGGTTAAAAAAGTCAACTTTTATTAAAATACTAAAAAGTAGAAAAGATAGTTAACATCACTGCAAAAATGGACTCTTTTGGATGATCAGTGGAGTGTAGATTAGGTTCGAGAACAAATAAAAAATTATGCTAACTAACATTTAATCAAACTTGTTAATTAATAATAAGTAATAAGTATGGCTATATTTAAATAATTAATATGCATCTTATTTTGAGAAAACAATACATGTCTTGGTATTTGATGAAGTTTATAGACATTCACTACTCAACAATGATCAAATAATTACAGTGTGAACAGGATTTATATTTTAGATTAGGTATAATCTATCGAAAAGTAAGTATATATATCAGAACAATATAAAAAATTTGTTTTATTAGAAATAGTGTGGTAAGCCAGTAACTTTAATTTCAATAACTTTACATCTTATTTGGGGGGATTTGTAAAATGTTAAGAAAAAATGGGTTTTAGTACTAATTACCTTAAACATTGTGTCACCAAGCAGGTCCGCATCTGGTGTATTTATATCAAAGCCCACAATGAAACCCAACTAGTCAATAGACTCCTCATGACCTCTCAGTTATCTATCCTTTTGCCTCCCCTACCCCAAACAACCACCACACACACGCACGCACACACACGCACACACCCTCCACCAAAAAAAACCCCACTCCATCCTTATCGTTAACACCAAATCTAGAGCCAGAGTAGCACGACAGTAAGGGCCAATCATGGCTAGGGCAAGGTGGCCAATGTTGTTAAGGACTAGAGTTATGCCTAGAGTTGATGAGAAGCAACTAAGGTATGACAGTGGATAACTTCAATGGAAATGATAGCCATAACAAAACTGAATGAAAGAAAAAGATTGATATAGCTGGCCCCAAAATTTTGAACTAGAGGCTTCAATGTTGTTGTTGTTGAGTAATCTTTCTCTGGTTATTTAAATCTACAGGACTTGTTGTGATATTAGATAACAGAAATAACAAAAGAGTAATTCTGATTATTTAAATCTACAGGTAAAACATCTCATTGCATTTATTTTATGTCCTAAGGAGACAATTTTATGAGAAAATACAGGAGCACATAATATATGTGCATCTGTCACAAACAAAGCTTGACTACACACTTTCAAATAAATTTAATGAGGCAGACACCTTTTCTGCCATTTCTTTTACTTTAAAGTGGTGGGATAACTATCAAATTCTCATCAACTCCGCTTATTATTGCAGGAGAAGTATGAAAATCATGATAGTATTTCAAATGGAGTTCCTATCCCAACTCCTTCAAACACAAATATATGCATGCATATATGAAAAGATTTGATACCTACCGGGAACCCATAAGTGAAGTAGTTAATGCTAAAATTCCGGAAAACAGATCCCCTTAGCAGTACATTTGTATGCCTGACACCAGACCTACAAAACGGAAATAGAAAAACCAAGATAAATGAGATATTATAGCAGAAGTAGGAGAAACAGCACAAAAAAAGTAAATTGAGATATTACAAAAACTGTATCGAGGCTGATATCCTCTGAGTATGTTAAACTGCCTTGTAAGAAAGTAATGAAACACTTCCCCCTAGAATGTTCATCAATGGCCAATAATAATAGCCAAAAAGAAAGGCAAAAAAGAAATGCTAAAGAAAAAATACTGGCTGCATGATTTGCCAACAATATCTCATATTACGCATAAGATAAAACAATCTACTAAAGTGGAAAATAAAGTGTGTATTCCAACATAGTATAAGAAATACCAACACCAGTAGTCTTTTACTAGCAATATGATAATAAAGTTAAGGTCGGTCACATAAGCAGGAGATAAATCAGCAAAATAACTAAAATAAATATATATAAAATATCAAATACCAACAAAAAGACATAATTACACCGTAAGATATTTATTCCCTGCAGATGGAAAATCTAGACCTGTTGAAAATGACAGTATGGCTGTACAAGGGAGTTAACACAATATCACAACCTATATGCAAATGTAATTGAGACGATTAATTAATTTATGTCAATTCATGAGAACATTCTGCATTTTGAGCTCGATCAAGGGCAGATAAGTTAAATTTGTGGGAGGGAGACAAGGATACAACCTATACACAGCTATGATGAGCGTGCCAAAAGACTTTCCGCTTTCCAACTAACAATTTGAAGTTTGTTAGAAGAGAGTATTAGTTTAGCATTGATTTAGTCTCACATTGCTTGTGAGACTTGTAACTAATCCATCTCTATAAATAATAAAGTATAGAGCGTGGGGAGAGATCTACAAGAAACTCTTTTTTCTCCAAATCTCAACATGGTATCAGAGCCTATCCCTAACTCTAACCCTAATACTAATCCAAATTCCTAAGCCTAACCCTAACCCTAACCCTAGGTCAGTCGCTTGTCTCCAAAACCCTAACCGCCAAAACCCTGCAACTGCCTCTCTCCGAAACCCTAACCCTAATTATCGCATCTTCACATCCACAGCACTCGCCGCCAAGTTCATTTGTCGTCCACGCCATCGTCATCGTCCTCATCTTCCTCGTCATCGTCATCGCCATCATCGTCATCATCATTGTCCTCATCCTCGTCCACCTCATCCACGTCCTCGCCCTCGAGCTCATTCGTCATCCGATCTAGATCTGCAACCCGACGCCGCTTGCCGTTGATGACCGTCGCCACCATGAGGCCCTCGCTCGCTGCCGCCTCATCTGTCGTCCTCATCCTCATCCTCGTCGTCCTCGTCATTGTCATCGTCATCGTCTTCCTCGTCATCGTCATCGTCATCGTCCACGTCCTCACCCTCGAGCTCATTCGTCATCCGATCCAAATCCGCAACCCGTCGCCGCTCGCCGTTGATGACCGCCGCCACCATGAGGCCCTCGCTCGCTGCCGCCATGCCAGCCGCTCACCGCTCTCTTTTTGCTTTTGGATCTGAATCAAATCTGCGAGTTGCCCTGTAAAAAGAAAACCTTCAGGTTCCATCTTAACTTTCGGGTACTTGATCTTTAACCTTCGGGTTCTTGCACTCTAACCTTCAGGTTCAAAATTAAACATTCGGGTTCTTGGACTTGTTCAGCCCACTGGCTAATTCAAGAATTATTTTCTTGAACTTGGACACTTTGATTGTATCCATTTTGGAATACAACTTGTGGAGGGTATTGTCTTGAACTCTTCTCGTCTGTTTCATGATGGACGGATCTGAGGAACTAAAGAATTATGAGTTAACGGTCCAGACAAAAGTTTCGGAAATATTTTCTGGTAGAATCACTGACTGGAAGCTTGATGGAATTAACTATCTTTAGTGGAAACGTGTTATTGAAATATATGTGGCAGGCCGAGGCAAATAGGCCATTTGTTGACAGACCCTCCTACTCCGACACTAGAATCTTGAACATTGGATGATAATGTCCTCTTGCATCAAATTCTTAATACTATGGAGCCTAAAATTCAGGATTTAGTTCTTCATTGTATGACAGTGAAGGAACTTTGGTGCTTTTTGCAAGATCTATATGGGGATAGCAGCAATATTAATCGGGCATATGAAGTAATTCAAGAGCTGTTTCGTAAGAAACGGTATGGTAAACCCATGGATGATCATTATGATGAGTTCAATCGTCTGGCTGAGGAACTTCGTCAGATTTTTCCTATTATTAGGGATGTAAAACAAATGCAGAACTAATAGAATAAATTTATGGTACTCACCTACTTGGGTACTCTCGATTCCATTTACTCCTCTATTCGACCACAAATCATGGAGAGCTCCGTCACTAGTTCTCTGACTGAGACTTATCACTTTCTGAATAATATTGTCCTTGCATAGTCACTTACATCCACTGCGAATCGCTCTGCGCTTGCCACTCAGAGTTGACAGTCTTATGGACGAAGGGATCATACTGGTGGTCCTAGAAGAGGTAGAGGAAACTTTAAAGAGAAGGAAGGTTACCACACTGGTCGTTCTAGGGGTCAAGGTGGTCAACGAGGTGGCCGTAGAGGTCCATCTCAAGGCGGACATGCTCATGGTGATGACTCAGTGAAGACTTATAACTACTGTCACCAGCCAGGACATCTCAAATATAATTGTCCTGAATTGAAAAAGAAAGCCAATGATGCTTACATGACCACTCAGGACAACTTTACCTCATCTGATAGTAAAAGTCAACCACAGTCATTCTTCCATGATGCGGAGCTGCAGCGTTAATTTCAGCAATTTTAATTATTCCAGCAGTACCAGAGTTCACAAACATCGCCTTTCTCCTAATCTGCTAGTCTCAAAAGTACAGGTACCCCTTTATCTTTACTTACATCGTCTTCGTCTAATACTTGGATTATAGATACAGGTGCAACTGGTCATATGACTAGGAATCAAGATATCTTGTCACCTTTCTTCCCTACATCTAATTCAGTTATATTAGCTGATGGTTTACGTACACTTGTTCAGGGTGTCGGCAATACAAATTATACTCCTAGTCTTCCTCTTTCCTCTGTATTCTTTCTTAGTTTTCCTATAACCTTTTATCTGTTAGTAAGATTACTCTAAACTATACAGTGATATTCTTCCCCACACATTGTGTCTTTCAGGACCTGATCACGAAAAAACGATTGGGACGGGACATGAGCAGAATAGCCTTTATAAACTGGAATTGGGCGTCAAATATTTGGCTTGTATCGAAAACTTACCAACCCTACAATATCACTGTCAGCTAGGACATCCCTCTCTCTCTGTTCTCAAGCTTCTTAATCCCCAGTTCAAATCTCTTTCCTTATTAGAGTGTGAGTCGTGTCAACTTGGCAAACAGCATCGTGTCTTATCTTAATCACGTTAATAAAAGGACTGCTAAGCCATTTGAACTTGTTCATTCTAATGTCTGGGATCATGTCCAATAACTTCTAAATTGGGATTCCGATATGTTGTCAGTTTTGTGGATGATCACTCTCATATTACTTGGGTTTATCTTCTCAAGTTTAGGTCTGAAATCTTTTCTACATTTAAACTTTTTTATTCTGAAAGTCAATCAATTCAAGACTTCGATAAAAAATTTCCAATCCGATAACGCAAAGGAATATTTGGATGGCAACTTCACTAGTTTTCTTGAACAATATGGAATCCTCCATCAGTCTTCTTGTGATTACACTCCTCAGCAAAATGGAGTTACTGAACGAAAAAATAGACACATCATTGATATTGCTCGGACATTGCTATTCCATCACCACGTTCCTAAAGAATTTTGGGGGGGAAGATATCTTAACAGCATGTTACTTGATTAATCGAATGCCCTCTTCCGTTCTGCAAGATAAAATTCCTTTCAAAGTTCTATACCCCAACGATGATCTCTTTTCGCTTCCTCCAAAGATTTTTGGTTCTTTGCTTTGTTTATAATCACAGTCCAAATAAACAAAAGTTTGACTCTCGATCTATTAAAGATATTTTTCTTAGCTACTCCCGAAAGCATAAATGTTATAAGTAATTCTGTCCGTCACTCAATCATCTTGTGTTATCTGTTGATGTAACATTATTTGAAGATAAACCCGGTTATTCTAGTTCTCCATCTCCATTATCACCGGATGAGTATGACTATTTAATCCTGCAAGAGTTATTGATTAATGATGGTGGCTCATCCGCTGACAATACTATTTACACTACTAGCAAAGACTCAGTTCGGTTTATCAACCATATTCAAGTTTATCATCGTCGCTCTGTTCCTGCTCCTATGCTAACGTCGGTCAAAACACCACGTCCTCCGCCAGAAAAACCTGAATGAGTAAATGTAAATTTACCCCCTTCGACGGAAGACCTTATTGCACTTCGGAAAGGGACACGAACTTATACTCAACATCCTATTTCTAACTTTGCCTCATGTGATCGCCTCTCCTCTACCTTTCGAACTTTTGTTATTTCTCTCGACTCATATTTGGTTCCCAAGAATGTGTCAGAAGCCCTGTCTATTCCAAGTTAAAACCAAGCGATGCAGGACGAAATGAGAGCCTTACAGTAGAATGAGACTTGAGATTTGGTCCCACTTCTACCAGGAAAACGGCCCGTCGGCTGCAAGTGAGTGTATACTGTCAAGTTGAATCTTGATGGAACTTTGACACGCTTGAAAGCCCGACTGGTTGCTAAAGGCTATTCACAGGTGTATGCCTTGGATTATATAGATATCTTCTCTCCGATGGTAAAAATGACATTTGTTCGGATTTTTGTTTCGTTAGCAGCGACAAATCACTGGCCACTTCATCAGTTGGACATCAAGAATGTATTCATTAATGATATTCTAGATGAGAAGGTTTACATGGAGCAACCACCAGGTTTTGTTGCTCACGGGGAGAATGTGAAGGTGTGTAGGCCGAAGAAATCACTCTATGGTCTGAAGCAGTCTCCGAGAACCTAATCTAGACGTTTTGAATCGGTTATTTAGTAATTTAAGCTTTGTCGTGCACAGAAAGATCACTCTGTCTTTTGGCGATTTCAGAATAGGAAACGAATTCTGCTAGTTGTCTATGTGGATGACATTGTAATTATAAGGGATGATGCTTCTGGTATTGACAGCCTGAAGAAGCATTTACAGACACATTTCCAAACTAAAAATCTTGGTTCCCTAAAATACTTCCTAAGCATTGAAGTTGCAAAGTCAACGAAGGGTATTCTTCTATCACAAAGGAAGTATGTCCTGGATATGCTCTCAGAAGCCGGGATGTTAGGATGCAGAATCAGTGATTCTCCAATGAATGTGAACTCAAAACTACTACCAGACCAGGGGGAGCTTCTTAAGAATGTTAGGCAGTATAGGAGATTGGTGGGCAAACTAAATTATCTGACGGTGATCAGACCTGACATCACATTCGCAGTCAGTGTTGTGAGTTAGTTCTTGTCCGCACCAAAAACTACTCACTTGGATGCAGTAATGAGAATTTTGAGGTACTTGAAGAAGGCTCCAGGTCGAGGAATTCTCTACTCAAATCAAGGACACACCAGAGTTACAGGCTTTTCTGATACAGATTGGGCTGGATGTCCTTTTAATAAGAGATCGACTACTGGATATTGTGTCTTTCTCAGAGGAAATCTAGTGTCATGAAAAAGTAAGAAACAAAGTGTTGTGTCTCGATCCAGTACAGAATCAGAATACAGAGCTATAGCAAATATGACACTTGAGATGGTTTGGATCAGAGACCTGTTGGCAGAGATTTGTCTCCCTACAGAATGTCCCATAAGTCTATATTGCGACAATAAAGAATTTCGTGTTTCATAAAAGAACCAAGCACATTGAACTCAATTATCACGTAGTCCGCAAGAAGCTCGAGGACGAAATCATCACGGCAAAACATGTATCGACAGTACATCAGTTGGCAAATATTCTTAGAAAACCACTTGGTCGAACACAAATTGACTTTATTTGTGACAAGCTGGGCATGCATGATATATATGCTCCAGCTTGAGGGGGAGTGTTAGAAGAGAGTATTAGTTTAGCATTGGTTTAGTCCCACATTGCCTGTAAGACTAACTTGTAACTAATCCATCTCCATAAATAATAAAGTATAGAGTGAGGGGAGAGAACTCCAAGAAACTCTCTTCTCTCCAAATCTCAACAAAGTTGATTGATAGCTTCATTTTATTCTTTAAGTTGATCCAAAGTTTTTGAACATCAAAGCTGAATGCTTCAAACATTGAGAAACCCCACACTTGGTAAGGAGAAAAAAATCACTACATCTTCATGATTCATTTTATTCCATAAAGAAAAGTACGGACTTTTTAAATACTTGTCACATCTATGGAGTTGCAATACATGCACGCACTAACCTGAAGATGCGACTCCACCGATGATTCAAGCAAATTCACCCATCGTGAAGATGAACACACCATAGTCATAACAAAGTGTAAGACGCTCAACAAAACTAACCTCTGGAACCCTTCTACCACAAGACTATTAAAGAAGCCAGGTTAGCAAACACCCTATACGTAGGAACTGCTGCTTATTTCTCCAATTAGGGGTGATCTAAACACCAAAAGATGAGATCCAAAACAGCTGTTTGTGTATAGCATAACAATCATGACCGCAAATAATCCATTCCTGAAGAGGTATCAAAATTCTAAGTTCAGATGTTTCAACATATCAATCCATTTAAATATGCAACTGCTTCCAAACATTATCACTATATACCGACTATTACCAACACAATGACAAGGAAAAACAAGATTTAACCTCGAATTGACGAGAGAAAGTAGAATCAACATGAGTAGCTCATTCATCAAGCAGAAAACTGTAAAATTTTAAAAACAGAACTTTCACCAAATAATAGTTTATAAGCATTACTGCACATTTCCAAGTTACAAAGAAAGAAAACTACTTTCTCAACTTCTAGAACAATCTTAACTTGAACTCCCAGAATGATTGAATCATATACAGTATATGTCAAAAACAAGAAAAGTATTATAGGATACACAAAACCACCACATACCGATATTCTCTTATGAAAAATGAATGCTTTGATGGAAGAAGCCGTTCTGTCAGACTGTCACCACCCATAGACATAATAGCATCCATTTCTTCCAGATCACATTTGACAGATGATAACTGCAATAAAGAAAATATTTAAAAGGCTATTGTATGGACTAATTATGAGGCTATTTTTACAGATGCGACTAAGCAAAATGTTGGAGGCAAAGTGCAACTCGTAACACAAAAATGAGGATACAGGACATCGAGTGCCGTAGCAGGGCAATGAATCTGTGTATACGTAATTGTTATAATATATAGTCACACAAATATATAAACACATACATACAGTGCCATACAACATGCCTCAAAAGTGCATAATAATTGTTGCAGACAAACAGTGAGGCAATGAAGAATGGCACCACAATAAGAAACATAAGTTTGGTAAAGTGTGCTTTGTGCTCTTTTCTCTACTTTATATAACTTTATTTCTCAATCTATTTATCCACTCGACAAACAACCCCCCATCCACTCGACAAACAACCACCCCAACCTCCACCCCCCACCCCCAAATAAAAAAAGAAAACGCCACCACCACCGAGAAAAGATAAACATAAAGTGAGAGAGAGAAACTACTAGAGCCTTATTGCAATGGCTGATGAGATAGATTGAACCAAAGAGATGTTAGGACTACTAAAAGATTAGGTTGGATCAAGTTACTTCAACCAGAAATGTTTGGCAGGTACTTTTATGTTTCACATGGTCAAAATTCTGCTTTAGGAACTAGTCTAGTCATGCTACAACTGTAGTTTTTTCTCTTCTTTTTCTTTCTTCATTAGAAATAGTATGTGGATTTTTAACCTGATTTTCGTCTTTTCTGTTAACCCATATACTAAATAAACAGAGTTTCTGTCTGAACAGAATAAAGAATGAAGTTTAACGAATGAGAAAACACGAAACACTATCAACTGATCTTCATAAAAGCTTTATAACATAAAAAATTAAGAACCATATATAAATACAAAACTCAAAGAAAATATAACAAGATATACTTCTGTCAAAATTCAAACAGATTACTTTTGTATAAAACTTTGGTGGTCAGACTCAGCTCTATTCAATATACAGAAATAATGCACCTAGAAGTATACAGTGGTTTCTTATTCAAGCTTCCTGTCCACAGTTTCCACTGAAAATTCTATCAGTGATACCTGGATATTAAAGAATATTATGTGGTTACTCTTTTCTATTCTTTCCTTGTATTAAATAGCTGCTTTGCATGACTACTAAAACTGATGTCAAACTCAAATTTTTCCTTGTCTAATGCCCTGCAGGACCCACCCCGACAGCCAAAATTATGTCTTCAAGCAACATCATTTAGTGAGGGCGCACAAGGAAATATTGTAGCTAAAAACTGTTACAATAAGACTTCAGAGAAAGGCCTATTTGAATAAAAGATTGTATGGAAACTAAGGTAAATAAAACACAAGAAATTGATATGTGATTCCATTTCTAAAACGACTAGAATTAAAAAACTTGCCAGACATACAAACATAATTACAATGACTCTAAATCAAATTAGAAAATTATTAAGCTAATCAGATGGCTTGAATTTTTATCTGATGCAAACCATATAATCTCATCTACCATTATGTATAAATAAAATTTGTAAGATGGGTACACTTTGCAATATCTTGCATTATAAAATAAGATATATAAATTGAGCATCATATTAAAATATCCCACATCTGCTATGTGAAAGTAACTCAGAAACAGATAGCAGATTATTACCATGAAATAGAACAACAAAATAGAGATCCCAGAAGAAAGCTCTGGCCACTCTGATTTGTTGGTTATTTTGTATAAACCCATGAAGTCCGCAGCTATCTGAAACAATGTTGGGAGCTCAATTGGTAGCTGATAAGCATAAAGTAGGAAAATGCTGACGCATGCATATATTAGCAGAGGTCTCCACCACCTATTAGTCATAAATATATACAAATAAAGTCACATAGAGAAAGAGGGAGAGAAACTTAACAAGCATAAGGCACATAGTTCAAATGCAAAACAATTGTGAAGGACAATTCTTACAAAACTTACCGGAAAAGGCCAAGAAAATTGCTTGTTAGAGACCAATCAACAAGGCCGACACAGCTACCAACAAAAAAAGGCAATGAAATCCATGAAGGATGACTAATCCCTACAACCAACTGAACAGCTGGCAACAATAAACAACATGCTACCCTGAGATGATAACCTACAATTTTGCAAGAGAAAGACATCAGAACAATAGAACAATATCTCATATTGACATCGAATATTTATGAGATTATGGAACGTAGATCCTGGTCAACAACAAACATTTGTCAAAAAAATTGATTACACAAGCATACTATAATTATTCTGCTCAACAACAAAAAAAATTTACAAGTTCTGGATATCAAACCTATACGACGAATGGTTGAAGAAAAGTTTAACCAGCAAGAATCCCCACAGTTACCATTTCCACGGACTTCAACAAAAGCAACAACAGAAGCTGCCAGTTGTATAATCACAAAGTATACAACAGATCTTGATCCCCAAGGCTCAACTCTGTAAAGGCAGAACATCGATTACAAACATAAATAAGATGAGCAGTTCAGAATCTAAAAAGCTCATAATGCAAATTTTACCAAGATAAAGATATGTCTTAACAACCTCCTTTTGGGATTAAACTAGCTTAGACAACATCAATGGTAATACCAACATCAAAATTTTCTTACATGTTGAAGCCATAATTGAAAATAGTGATAGAAAAAACCACGTTATGCTTGATGCAGAAAATAACTTTTTGATGACTATAAAGCAATTATGACATAGGGAGAGTTCATGGAGGCTGGTATTGCAAGGATACAAAATTATCAATCTAGGTTTTGATGCTAACAAGTTACTTGGACACAGTGGTTGCACTGAAAATATATGAGTACACTGATTGACAAATGATGGCTTCAACCTTGAGTATGTAACATTGTTGAAAAGAGCGGCAAAAACCGATGAAAAGTGGTGGTAAAAAGCGGAAGTGGCCTTTGGATGTTTTGTTTTGCCTCAAAGCATTTGTATAAAGCGCCACTGGCGCTTTTTGCTCGAAAAAGCTGAAAAAGTGGCAAGAAGCGGTGAAAAGCGCTAGAACGCACATAATAGCGCTTTAAAACACCTGAAACTCATCGTATCCCTCTTTCTCTTTTTCTGTTGCGGCCCAAAATAAGCCCTAAGAACCCAAATCATCCTCCGCCTCCATCACCTCCAACCGCCAAATCCGCCACCTCCCAAAGCAATCCGCCTTTCATGAACTTCTCCCGCATCCAGCACTTTCTCCAGCCGCATCCAGATCCTCTCCCGCCGCCTCTCACAATCCTCCACCACCTCTCTTGACCTCCTTTCCCCATCTTCAGCAAGCTCCTTATCAAAACTTCAGTCCGCTGCTCCCTCCTGTCCACCACCTTGACGAAGCACCGATACTTTGTTAAAATTGTGTGAAGGTTACACACTTATATCATGATTAGGTTGAGTAAATCATCAAATATGCATTTTATAGAATTGTTAGATTTTTCTTCAATTTTTCTTTTTTTATATTTATCCATATTTAAACTGGACCGCTTTTTCACTTGGTGTTATTTTCCGCTTTGATCCGCATAAGCCCCAAAAAAGGCCAAACAGTGCCTAACCGCTTCGCTCCGCTTTCCACAACCTTGGTATATAAGTTAAGAAAATAAACCATCCACGCAACACAGCAAGAGTGAGCATCACTGGATGAGGACCATGAAGATCCAAAACTATTATTCTGGTTTTTACTAGGATTTGATGTAAGACTAATGATCTGGCACTAAAGTTCTCTCACTCTGGCTAACCCAAAACTTCTAGATGACAAACGCTTAAACCATCACAAATTATGTTATTAAATAGTAATGTCAGCTTTATGATAATCAAAATTTGACAGAATACAATATGGAACCAAAATTCGACTACAAAACTTGGCAGAATGTAGTCTGATGAAAACAAAATTCAACAGACATATGTTTCGCCAGATATCAAATCTAACAGAAACTAGCCAAACCAGAAGAACCATATACACTATGGTGTATATAGCAGGAAAAGAAAGTGTGAAGCTTCAGACAGCTCAGGCAGCCTCACTGCCTTCTTTACCCTGCTCTCTAGTCTACTCTTGAGGCAGATGGCAGTGACTATTTTTTAACTGCACTAGTTCCCTGTGCAGATCTCTCAGCAACAAGACAATGCTATGTGGTGGTAGAAATAAAATCCAAAAGCGAATGAATTGGGCAGGAAGGCTTAAAATGTTTTGGAAACAAAAAAGAAATGATCTGACAAAAAGAATGCTGAAATGTTACTAGACTGCGAAAGACGAACAATACATCATGGATAATAATAGGAAAAACCAGCACGAAACTACTGGATATTTGGCTTTACAAAGATTAAAAAAAAAAAAAAGATATAATAAACGTCCATGTTACCTGACAAATCCAATCAGCTTTGCCCACCAAGAATCAGCTATGATCCACTCATTCCCCTTAATGCTCCAAATGACATTGAATATGATTTGAGTTAGTATGGTAAGTGTAGAAAATATGATTGTAAACCATGATATGATATACAGCCTCCAAAATGGAAATCCTGCAAGTAATAGCAACAAGATATGTTATCATACAAGTTATGCGACTTTTCCAATAATGAGAATAGGCAACTGCAACTAGCCACCAGCTAGCTGTGCAAGATCAGAAATAAGTTATAACTAACAATAATCATACAAGAAATGACACATAAAAAACTACTAGCATTGAAAGTGGAAAAAAAATACTCAAGAATAGGTTATAAATCATGAGGCTATAAAATACTAGAACGTTGAGACTAATGCATCAACAATCTGAACTTCACAATAGTACAGTAAACAGAAGAAAAAGATACTTCAGACAGGCTCAGTGGCTAGCAGCATTTCTCCCCAAACTAAGTTGGACGCCACTACAAAAGACATACTACAGTAATCAAATTACCAGTACTTTTAGGCACAGCTACGGACTACCGAACCATCTAGAAGCTAGATACCGTTTTCTGATTCGAACACCTAATAAATACATATTAACCATAGGTGATTCAAACACCTATTAACCATTAGTTAGAAGTTTTTATTTTATTTTATTTTCATTTGCACTTCATGCATTTTTAAGGCATGATTATCTCGATGGAGGGTATGGAGCATCCAGCCGACGTTCAATGCGGATTACACTAATTCCTTTGATAGTTATTTAAGGAGACACCTTAGGAACACTTTATAGATGTACGTGTGTATGTATAAAGATACACAAATTTGCCTATTTCCAGGACTGGATAGCAAATCCTTGATCGAGTAACAAAATTGAAATTATTCAAGCTGCTCTGTATTGTATAGACTGCCCAAAAACAAAAAATGAATAGATTTTAACCTTCTTAACTGATGCATCAAATAGGTACTTAATGAAAGGCCCAAAGTAGCATTTAGTTTAGGTCTATTAGCATAAAATTTTAGCATTCAAAGTTCAAACCCCTGATTCGTGATCTAAAACACTTCAAAACCTTTGCACATGGATTTGGGTGGACTTGAAACATCCTAGAAGGTCTACAAAACTTGCTATTCGTTAACCATCATATTGTTTCTACTTGACGCATGGGTACTAAAACTTTATTTCATGTTTGACATATTGTTTCTACTTGACGCATGGGTACTAAAACTTTATTTCATGTTTGACTTTTTAGATATTAGGCATCTAAATGATGTGTGTCAACTTTTTTTTAGATATTAGGCATCTAAATGATGTGTGTCAACTTGAACACAGTGGTATTATCAATTGAACTAACCTAAGATTGGATTACAACAAGAAATGTCTTTAAAACCTTCCCAAAGTAGCCAACGTCTCTCAAAATCACTTCTTAGTTGGAGGCACTCCATGTAAGGTAGATGATTTGAATAGCTTATAGAATTTAAAGGAGAATAAGTTGGCTCCAAATCCTTCTGAAACTACAACTCTCTTCCCCCCATCCTTTTGTCTGTGTATGCAAATGTATATGCATATGTATGTACTTGTTTGTAGGAGACATAATCATGTCCATGCATACACAGGGTGATAAAAGAGTTTAAAAGATTTTAGGATAATCCGATTTATGTGAAATAGCTTGCAGGAAAACAGAAAATAGCATGAATATCTAATATTTAGTAACTAAAAAACATATGAAAATCGAGTGGGAATGAGACAATAATGACTACTAGGCAATAATAGGATGCAACGTTACTCATTTTCAAGATTTCTATATGTAGATTGCTATATATCTAGAGATAGAATGCAAGAAAATTAGTTAACTTGTAGTTGCATAGCTTAAAAGTCGAGAAACTATAAAGTCACATGCTGAAAATGAATGGAAGGAAACACAGAAAAACTACAAATTATGTTTAAAAATTGCATGGTGACTAATTAGCAAAAATGTCACAATCTTAATTCAGATACACGAAAAAACATACCTCTTCTTGGAACAGTAATCTGAATGCCAATAAATATTAACAAATCAATGAGAGAGATCAAACTCCAATCAAGCAAAGCACCTGCAGGATGAGAAAAACAAAAGATGAAAGTCATATTTATAGAAAAAGAATCAATGAACAAAAAAAGAAACCTATAGAGGCGAATTTTGGAATAAGAAATAGGTGATGCTTAAAGCCGCTCTAAGAGTTAGTTCAAAAGTTAAGGTCCTTAAAATGGTTGAAAGATACAGGCAGCACAATAGTTAAAGCCATATTCCATGTTTCACTAATATACGATTCATGTCAAACTCATCAGATTGTTAAAATATGATGCATGTTTGTCTCCAATAATAGGAATCCAGCGATTTCAGGTTATAACAATTCTAATATACAAATTTAAAACTTAAGAGGAATATATTTAAAAAATGAAACATGCCAAATATTCACCTTTAAGATATGCCCCCAAGCATGCAATTTAAGAAATAACAAATTTAAGATAAAAAAATAACAAGGACAGCCCAGTAACATCCTCGCATTTGCACATGCACAAGCACATGTACACACTACACACAAATGTGACAACTGTGGAGTCTGGACTATAACTGATTTAACATCAATATCCTAGCTTCCATCTCCGCCTCCACGGTCGTGATAAAGTGAAAATACATATGACTCAGAAACTTTTAGGCATGTAGTGCAATCTTTCTTTTTCTTTATTTCAAAATAGACAGTTGAAGTTTTTTTTATCTCCAAGCATCAAGTTTCGTATAAAGGGTATCATGTATACTGCACCATAATGTATGTCCAGCAATATTTATAAGTCTGTAATAATAAGGGCTGTAAAACAAATTTCCTGCAAAAGATCCTTCAAGAAAAGTGCCCGCTAGACAATGGAGACAGTTACACTGATCTCAACAGGAACCATGTCCTGTCATGCCATTAAGAGCTAACATAAGCAGATGTAACATGGCAAATGACGCGCAGGGCTGTCAAGAAAACTTTACCAAAAGAAAAAACTTGACCAAGGTGCTGGACTCACCCTATGTAATATCCGGTTATCCACCCCTTATAAATAAAACACTCTGGCCGGGATCAGGAACTATTTTATCTAAGAAGAGCATAAGCGACATCCATTCCCCTTTTGAGGACTGTGGAAGTTTTCCATCCGATATGTCAATGGTAATCGGTATGGGTTTCCTAACAATCGGTCATTTATGTGTTTGTCACTTTGTTGGGAAATCTGTTTGTTAGGAAACTCATTGTAGGCTGTCTAAAAATTACAGCAGATAGCTAATCTCCATCAAACACCAATGATGAAAGTTACAATTCGACGGTTTCTAGAAGACTACAATTTGAAGACTTTCACGTAGATCGATGAATGTTACAAATCAACGACCTTCACGACAACCGATGAAAGCTCTGATCAATGGTCTTCACAACCAATAATGAGAATTGCAATCTGACGACTCTCACATTTCAAAGATCTAAAGCGAAGATTACAAAACAACGATCGTCGCGACGCTATGACATAAGAGATTACAAGTTAACGATCTCTTCAATCCAAGACGCAGGACTCATCCCTGCATCCCAGAGGTGAAGCACAAGTGGCCTCATTCCAGAGTCAAAGCTATGCAAACGCAGCTCCTAAATGCTGCAAACGTAGCTTCCATTCGCTGCCAAATGCAGCTTCTAAATGCTGCAAAACGCAGCTTCCAACCACTGCCAAACGCAGCATCTAACTGCTGCCAACGCAGCTTCTAACAGCTACCAACGCAGGTTCCATCTGTTGCCCAACGTAGTTTGCAAACATTGCGTTCAAATACAGATTTTATTCCAGAATACAGGATCTACGTTTGACTCGTTCAAACACGAGTTGAACGGTTTCAGAAACCGTTTTCTCCCCATGATCTGAGGGATTTTCGCCCCCACTTAGGAGCGGATTAAGGAGGCGGTTACACCCCATTCAGCCCCACTTAGGAGTGAATTAAAGGGACGGTTACACCCCTTAATCCCCTATAAATAACTAAAAAATCAGTTTAGTTGAGGGCTCTTTGGCTGGGGCAGATCAAGAGAAATCTTTGGATCCTTGAGCATTTTCAGATCTAGAGATCAGCAAAGGGCATTCTTCGACAACAGGAGCTATCTTCGTGCTTGGCTTGTCTAACCAATTACGGTTAAGATCAATCAACTCTTTTACAAGAGTTTAAACTCGCTCTGAGTTATCAACTCGTTCAAAGTTTCAAACTTGCCACGCAAGTCCTCCACAGCGTCAAATCGTGAGGAGAAGATCATGTTCCAGTGAAACAAGACGTTCAGATCGTCAACGAGAAGCAAACTCGACGCGAGCATTTGAGGGAGGCATCTCATCGCTACCGTGAAGAACCCAGACTTAAACAAAGGGGAGAATTCAGATCAATTCTCCTCTCTTTTGTAATCGAAAATCCAAATTGTAATTGAGATCGAGAGAATATAAATCAAATTTCTTTTATTTTATTTACTATAAATTTTTTACCAAACAAAAGATGACGACTCCGCTGGAGACTAGCTTCTCTGATGACGAAGTGGTGACGCAATCTGACGTTCATCTCACTGGAATAACCGTCGAAACTCTCATTATAGAGTTTGATCAAGCCAAGTACGAGGAAGCCCTCTCCTCTGGATCACTTAGCCCCAAGGCTATGCACAAGATCCACAAAGTCTCCAAAGAGACTAAAGCTCTATCTGCTCCAATTGCATCCGAATCACCCAAGGAAGACCTCTCCTTTGGGCCAGGTTGCTCGGACAGCCTCTCCCCCGATAGAGTGGGATCAGCTTCAGCTAAACCCGCGTCAAGACGACGGGTATCGGGTCGCAAGAGGCCCATTGAGACGACAAACTTGATCAACACAGATGGTGACGTCACTACAAAGACCTTGAAGCAGGCTAAGAAGAAGGCCGCTCGACGAAGTAGGAGATCCCTACGACGAGCACATCTCCGTGAATGTCGATCTTCAAGTTAACACGAGCTTCATGTTTGTGAGCCTAAACGTGACCTTGTGCTCTGCGTTTCTGTTTCAGAACGCAAGCCTCGCGTCTATGAGCCCAAACATAGGCTCTGTGTGAATAAGATTGAACGCAACCCTCTGTGGTGCATTGTACAGTCAAAACGTAGTCTTCAGCAGTGCGTTCCATTAACTAAATGCAACTCTCAGGCATGCGTTTTAGAACCAAAAAGCAGATTTTAAGACTGTGTTCCACTAGCAAAATACAGATCTCAGGATTGCGTTTCACCAGCAAAACCTGAACCTCATGCATGCGTTCGGGTAACAAAATTCAATACAGAACCTGGTGTATACGGTGGAGCTTCGGGGCACTGCCCTGAACCTCGTCGGGGGGTAGTCCACTCCCCCCGGACCCCCCGGACAGGGACCGCCGTCCCCTGGACCCCCGGCTCGCTGACCGGACAGCGAGACCCCCGAATACTCTGCGTAGCCCAATTAGATCGAGGGGCGGATATAAAAAGGCTTTGGATTCAAGGCATCTCAACCATATCCATGCTCACCAGGAACCAGTCCCGTCCAATTATAGACTGGGGGTTCTAGTTCAAACCTCACGGTCAGTGATTAATTCTTCTCGAGTCTTTGCAACAGATTTGAGAGTGTTCATATCAGGAGAAAGACTGATGCAACAAGTCATTCGTTCATTCCAATGTAAACGATTGATTTCTACAATCCTCTCGGGATGTCACTACTGCTCATATGTGGCCAAACCGTTGGTGTTCGACCAATTAATGCATGTTGTTTTGCCCAACCAACGACGACGTTCGCACAAGAAGAAGTCTCCAGAGACCGAATATCCTGGAGTCACTATCAATGTGATCGGCAGAGGGAAAACCTCAGGTCCTAGTTCCGATGACTCTGAAACAAGTCGTTCACCGACCGTCAGAGAAATTGCTAACGAGTTTGAAGGAATCTACCAACGCACTCGGATGCGAACAGGAACCATTCCCCCTGTCAACTATCAGAGGTTAGTCATAGGAACTAATTCCGATAATGAACACTCAGTCATTGCGAAGTCTCAATCATCAAGCTCCTTCGTTGAACATGAGAGCTTCGCCCACATAGCAGAAAATTCTGTAAGATCTCTCAAAGAGGGTTGCTGAGCAGGATGCCATGCTCAAATCACAGCAGAAGACCCTCAATAAACTCCTGACCCTGTTGACTCAAATCGTCGCAGACAAGACCAACTCTTAGAAGACAGATTCGCCACCTAGATAAGAATCTTCCCGGAGAGGAAAAGCGTCTTCATCCCGACTTCACACTTGCAAAGGGAAGGGAAAAGTGGTTGATGATGCTGCTTCTGACCAAGAAGCCCACAACCTGGAATCTTTCTCTAATGAAGGAAGAGAGAATGAGAATGAGCAGAATCCGCAATCGGTCAAAATGGAAGAATTAGAAGCCTGACTCAATGTCATTGCTAACAAAAGCGAGCTCCAAGATAACCAGGCTCTATCCTGCCGAATGGGATGCAGCCCCTTATCCTCTAAAGTTTGAGATCCCGACGCTACAAACTTTCAACGGTACAGAATCACCGAACCAACATATCTATCATTTCAAGTTACAGAGTGGGAATGTGATATCAAACGATGTCATACTGGCTCGATTGTTCATTGATACACTCAAGGGAGTTGCCTTTGAATGGTTCAGAAAACTGTCTGTCGGATGTATCCAAAAGTAGGCAGATCTAGAGAGATTCTTCCTATCAAGATTTTTTAAAGAGGATACAGAAATCTCCATCTATATCCTTCTCGCTACTAAGCAGAAAAAGAGGGAGTCCGTCAAAGCCTTCGTCAAAAGGTTTCGAAACATGACTCTGCGATATCCGACAGGTATGACACAGTCTACCTTAGTGGAGACCTGTCGACACAACTTACAGACCGACCTTCTAGCGGTATGACACAGTCTACCTTAGTGGAGACCTGTCGACACAACTTACAGACCGACCTTCTAGCACAAATGAGGGTTGCAGAATTACCTTAGTGGAGACCTGTCGACACAACTTACAGACCGACCTTCTAGCACAAATGAGGGTTGCAGAATGCT